ACTAAGGACCTAATATTTGCCCAGTTTTTTAACTTTTCATAAAAACATTAGCATTTTTTAAAGTTCATATTTCTTCCAGATTTTAACAGGAACATTAATTTAAAATATAGCAACTAACTCACATAAGGAATAAGAGCACTGATAATCCTATAAGTAACACAGATATCTGAGGCTTTTCTTCTGATTTAGAATGTGCTTAATCTAGATTCAGCGAGAGTCACAGTTATGATAGGTCAAGGAAGTGGGATTACTATTGCTTCTACAGAAAATTGTTCCTAACAAAAAATCATCGTTACCATTTTGACAAGTTTGATCGAAGATGTCATTTTTGGGAATCTCAGAGATGGAGAGTAACATAATGAGGTTGACAGAAGGGCGACATAGTAAATGGGGGTTAAAGTTATGAGATATTTGATATATAGAACGTGAAAAGTGATAGTACATTTCTTCAAGCGAGGATATTGAATCTTTTTTTCTTTATAACGTACTTCTTCGTTTCTTGATATCGTGAATATGTTGATTATTTCAAATTCTGATCGTCTCTTGTAAAAACCTAAATTTTGATTCTATTATTCAAATATTTTACATATTATTAATCATGAATAATAAATCACTGTGAATTTAAAAAAATTGATTGTGCATGAGACAAGAGGATTACATGTAATGTGCAAAAAATCTCAATCTACATTTTTAAATTGTTATGACAATTCCCATAAAAATCCGCAGTCTACTAATAATAATTAAAAATGTCGAACGTTTTTACTTCACCCTCGCCAAAAGTTCCTTCAAATTTCTTTGCCCCAGTCCCATAAGGAGATAAGCACACACATGTACCGCTGATCCCATTACTTCTTTACTTTTTCAATTTCCTCTCCAAAACAACCGAGTTTCTGTCTCGTTCCGTGAGTTCGTTTCGAGGATGCCGGTAACCTTCTTCGACCCGCTTTCATAATAGCCAAATGACTCGCCATCCTTCTTCACGGTTCCATGAAAACAAAGTTTTAATAGAATAAGGAAAGCATTGATAATTACTTCAGACTATTAAAACACCATTGTTAATGCACAAATAACTGCGGTGCTTCAGGAAATACTTCGCAATCTGGGGTTGGGAATTCAAAAGTTCCCAGTGACCTTGTACTCTGAAACTAAATTCTTCGTGGCATTCGTGACCGCGAGCTTTCTCCGTATCATTTCTTGCGGAGAACTACCCTCTGTGTTCTGTCCCACCGACCCTTTTCCACCGTTTTACCCTTAAGAAGCCAAGCTTACTGGCTCCTGTTCGCAAGTGTCGAACTTAGCTACGCGTCGTTTAACTCCTACATGTCGCGGTGCAGCTTCTCTTCGTGGTTTACTCGATTTACTTTGCCTCTGCGAATAACCATTGCTTGCTTCATTGATTTACAGTTTGTCTTTAAATGGTCCGTTTAATTCTTGATCTAGTTTGTAGAATTTTTTGATTAAGGAAATTTTTATTTTGTTCGTATTTTCTGTAATTAGTATCTCTTGACAGCTTCCTCTTTGTCATTTATCTAAAGAATTTATATGCTCGCCAAATGTCTAATTGAAATCGCATTCTTCGTATTAATGTTCGTTTTCAATTGAGGCGCCGCGACTGATTGGACGAACCAAGCTGCTCGTGGGCGTTAACAAACGACTGTTACAGTTCCAGCAAATAGCCAAACTTTTTAATTTCCTCTGGACAATATTGCTCAGAGACTTTTAGCCACGACGCTCACCCAGCGGGCTGAGAACTTCGAAGGTCATCATGTAGACAATCTGTATTGCCTAGCACATTTAAAAATTTAATACCGATCAAAACCGAATTCACACGGAGTCTCCAAGCGAGGCAAATGGCACTTGAGAATCTTGAGTACAAGTACAATACTACAATTCGGAGTTCAATNGTTCGCGTGTTTACAATAATTGTTAATTATTAACGTACCGTAATTGCGACAGGTTCCAATTAGGTGCGATAATCGACAGGTTGTCACGTAACAAATAAATCCATCAGAGGTAGATTTTGAAAATCATGACAAAAAATATATGTATATAATTCCGATAATAGTCTTTCATTTTTGTTACAAAAGATTGTCTTTACAAATGAAAAAATATTTAAAATTATTCTGCATAGTTACATTTTATTCTGATCCAACCCGGATACTTAATTAGGTCTTGTTGATTTGATGCGGTCGAATCGTTGACCGCATTTCTTAGTAAATGTATCTTTACGGTCCGAAACCTGTTGGAAACAAGACTCGTTCAATTCGGAACAGTTTTTAATTTTTTCCACCTCGCAGCAGCTCCCACTTTAAAAAGATTGGTTTCTCATAAAAATGTTATGAATTTAAACACTCGCAGCAATTGGAACGCTCTTTATAAAAGATTGCTCTAGACTATATCCCTTAATGAACCAATTTAAGAACATCGATTGCGAGCGTGGTTCTTTCGTAGGATGAAAGCAAACGAAGCTTGCATCAATGTTTTCCCGAGATCGTTTCGACGAAACCGAATGCAAAACGTTGCGTAACGTTCTGTCTGGAATTGAATTAATTTTGCCATAGACGAAGCTTTCATTCCTTCCTTTTAACTTTCCAATCAGTTATTCAATATTCATACGAAATATTCAATTTGTTATTTTTTTATTCGATCAATCCTCTGGTGGACACGTAGAACCTTTTCCTTACTACTAGCCTTGAGCATCAAATCAAATAAAATCCTCAAATGAAATTATTTCTGTCCTAGTAGTAGCAGCTTAAGTTATTTTTTTTTTTAATTAAAAAAAATCAGCCTTGGGTAGAGACATAGAATCTTCTTCTTAAAGCTGACTTTAATCATTAAACTAACGATAAGTAAAAGTCTAAAATTGAATTAAATTTGCAATAGGCTTCCATGTATGCTTAATTTATTCTCCAATTATTTAATATTAAAAAAATATTGAATTGGCTATTTTTTACTGGATCAATCTTCTGGTAGACACGTGGAATCTTTTTCTTAGAATTGAGCTTGATCAGAGTAAGTAAACTAAAGTGATCGTTCGTAAAAACTTGGAATGTAAGAAATTTAGGACTTTCCCTACGAAAATCCTTTATTCGGTTCTCGCGATCAGCATGCAAAAGGAGATGTGATCACATATAGTATCAAAGGACCGTAAAATCGTAGGAAACTTTATACATTCGACGCTAACGGGCTTGCCGTAAAGTCCATCGTAATGATCAACAGAAACTTGACAAAATCGCCTTCATCGATCACGAGGATGCCATTACCTTTTTCCATGCGTAGAACTGCCCTCAGGACAATCTTTTCTTGTTTGTATGTTTTCACATGAACTGAAGGGATATTTTCGTTCATATTGCATTTTACAATAAACTTTATAATTACACACATTCATTTTTTATTTATATCTCAAAATAAATAACATGCTTTATGTACAACTCATTTATTTTGTCTTATCACGTTCTACAGTTGACTTGTTCGACGCATTTAATGCATCGACTTAGTGAGTACATTTAACTAAACATTAACATTGCTACAGACAAGGAGATCACACACAGTCAATATTACATATTATATTACAAGGCTGTACAAAAGAAATATAAAATATGTATGACATATTTCGCGTTACCATTATGGCTTTCACAGCTGAATTATACCTAGTATAATAGATACCACCGTGAACTAGAAGCGCAAGCATTTCATTCGCACCGTGGCTTGATTATTCATAGTAGCGTTCCCTACTCGAGGTATTAGCTACAACCTGAAATAGCCAGTAATGCTTTAAATTGTCTCCTCATGATTATTCCAGCATTTCATCAAATTATAATCTTAATTTAATATAATATTGATTTTATCTAAATCATTGAGTGAATAATTTTCACATTTAAAAAGAGGAATCAATGTCAATTTAAATAGTAACTACAAATTGTTGTCAAATATCTGCTTTAATAGACGAGATGCCATATTTCAAATTCAACTCAATGCCAAATGAAAATAAATATTAATATTCATAGGAAGAAAAATATAAATAAGAGCGATAAAGTAAATTTCATTTGTCTATTGGCAAGTGTTAAAAGTTGTTTTTCAATTTACCTGAAAGTGGTTCGATATTCCGTAATAAGGGAAGACGCCGCCAAGGATGTAACGGTAGTACCCATTGTGCCTAATACGATATTCACCCGGTTTGATGTCCTCCGGGACCTGCCACGTAATGGTCACCTGACTCGATCCAAGAACCACCGACGTCCTCTTCCATTCGAACCTGTATCGGCAGTAGCACCGAATCAAGGAGACACGTCGTTATTATTTGTCTGGCTGCCCCAACATTCTCCGCTGATCGATACTCTTATGCGGTTTCTCGTTTCTCCGCATCTTTTTTTCGGACTACCATTGATTTCTAACAGGGTATGTCTATAGATACTTTCTACAGGTTCATGGCAGGCTTGGGCATCATTCAAATACATTATTTGAAAAATAATCTCGAAAATAAAATATTATCTTATGCATGTTATTTAAAAGTAATCATTTGTTTATAAGAAAGAACAAATAAGTTTTCTTTATTTTATTCATTATTTCGAATTGATTTGAAATGATTTTTCATTCTATCTTTTTACTTGATCAAATACTTTTTAAAATAAATTTTCAAATACTCTCTAAGCGTAAGACTAAAATTACGAAGATGTGTTTATTATAAAAATATTATATATTGAGGAATATCTCGTCCGTAATCGCGAAGCGGTTAATTACTGACGCTAGCGAAAAGTTTTTTATACAGAATAACATTTTATACACAGAACATCAATTTACATGTCTTGATTTATGCGGATGGAAACCGTGAATCAGATTCGTATTGTAAGTATAGTAATTGTAAAAATATGTGGAAAGTTGACTCAAGTCTACGTTTATGATTCACTTCGTTCTTTTACATAACATGTTGATTTACAATTTACGCCAATGTTCTATTCGAAGGAAACTACAACTGAGTATAATTTATTTTAAAATCCGACACGAAAATCGAATTTTCAGAGAACTAAGAAAAGGGCTTCATTTGATAACTATCAGGCACACGTTATATCAACATCAACAATTGCTTGTTCTATCATTTGTTTAATAAAGTATTTGAAATAATTCATTATTTAAATGATTATTTGTTATCTTAATAGAAATAAAATATATTCAATCTCGGGTCAGAGTGCGCAAAAATTATTTTTTACTAATATTGAAGCAAGTTCTTAATTTAATAGGTGAAAATTTATTTCTGACTACAATAGTAAAATCTATCTGTTGCAGAATATTTTAATGAATGCTGACATGGTATAAATTTTAATCTTTTCCTTGTATGTCAATATTTTAATGGATGTAAATTGAAAATAGACAAGAGATGCACATACTTGGTCTCCCAATTGGCATCAGTGGCGATTGGCACCCACACCTCGTCATCGGCATTAGCCAGCCTCTCGACTGTAAGGAACGTGCTCTCTGTCATCAGATTGTTGCGTGGGTGTCCGGAAATCTGGTGAGAGAATACGTGAAAAGTTATCGGGGCACGACATACCTCCAGAAAATTCTTTATAATATTTCTCCAACCCTCGCAAGAAATATCATATCTAAAAAATGAATTACAAATCATTGAACTCAAAAATAGACAAGCATGTTACAAAAAATTTATGACTTTGCATGTACTCTTATGGTAATCAGCAGTAACCCAAAGAAAACTTCACTATACATATAGCCTATACATCCTTAAACAAATTCTGCGTTCGTGGAGATAGCTAATTAGTATACTTACATATCATGCAATTATATAAAAATTCAATGTTCAGAAATGATAAATGCTGCGCGTAATGCATAAGACAAATCAGAATATAGCTACAGAATAGCTACTGAATATATCAATGTTTAAACGATCAAATAAATGTTTATGTAAACTACATCGTTTAAACCGATACATAAATATTTTATTTTGCATAATGAGCCTCCGTCTACTAATTAGCGTAAAAAGTTCTGGAAACAAGTATTAATTTTCCAAGCTTAATGGATCGCGCAGATCAGCGAGATGGAAAATTCGTTGACAGATATTAAAGCACGCTAGATTTCCGCGGCATCCAAATTAATTACAAATGAAAATCGTCCCGCTCAACGGACTGATAACTAACGTGTTGCTATTTTTAAGACACCATCTGCAACTATCGCACGAATTCCGCTATTGAACAATTTATACAACGTTCATTAAACGTAACTAGGTCATGTTCGTCTTTTAACACGCATCTACACTAGCTCTACACGAGCGTCCACAAGAAAAAACAAATGCCAATACGTACTTCTGATTATCTTTACATCGATTGATAGACATTATTTATTTATTAATGATGTACTTACAAATTCTGCAGTGACGATATCTCCGGGCTCGACAATTTTCCGTGGTTGGATGATGCAGTCGCCGAAATTCCTACCCCATTTCGGAGTATCGTAGAGGACAGGTGTTACAAATGAGAGAAGAGTATTTTCCGTCAGATCTGCAGGCGTTGGGCCAGGGTCTACTTTCTTTTTCTGATAACATATTAAATATTATATTGGTATAATATTTTTTATAGCAGAAACACTTGGGGAATGTTACGCTTACAAGAATAGCAGCCGTGACGAGCTCTTGGTACTGTTTTAAATAGATTGTGAGTGTGTGGGGTCCAAATATCGTGGAAGCTCCCTCGTATCTTTGGATCTGTAAAATTTCATTCCACTCTTTAAACAATTTCAGGACAATGTAATCAAATGCGATTATGTTTTTTTCGACTGATAAAACGGAACTATAATTAAAGAGGAAAAATTGTATGCACAGTGAATGGATGTAAAATATTGAACTTCTAATGGACAGATAATGAGAGGAGATAATGTATGATAAGGCAGCCGTTAAACGATAGATCGAGGATCGTAAGAACATCGGAAGCGGTAGGGATGGTCTGCGATTTACTTGGTATTCCTCCGGCGTGGTTACGTAATCGCTGTAAGTATTGCAGAGGCCGGCGACTATAACGGAGGTTTCGCTGTCGGACGCATCGTTCATGACCGTTTTGATAGCCTCTCGCAATCTTCTTCCGGACATTGTTGTGAATTCCCCCGGCACACCGGCGATTACTACGTTTCCGATCAACGCGACTTGCGTCGCCACGATTTTCGGCTGCCACTCGTACGGCAAAGTCATCTGAACAGACGTAGACACCATTGCAAAAATAAATATTCTGTATCGTGTAATTACTAAATAAAATCAATACGATTGCAAAATCGAACTTCAATATTTATTATTTATTTAATTATTCTCTTTTTGTTCTGTTGTACATTTGTTTTATTTAAATATGTTTTGTAAGGAGGAAGCAGGAGTAACCCTGTCTGCAATATCGACTTTTATATTATTCTAACTCAGGCAATGATTAACGACTTACGCTTTTATCAAAATTATTTAAAACCTGGAAATTATGAGATCGTTCAAGTCTGATGTAACTGAAAATTGGTCTAATTAAAAGTTTTCTCTAGGACATTTTTGTTCAGGGTCCGCCGTGAAAATATTTTGTCATGTAAGCTTACACGTCCGGTGGCGAGGAGAATCGGCTTAGCGCCGTGGCACTTGATGTCCTCGGCCGTCGGCGCCGCTAACAAGTTTCTAACTACGTTCCACAAGGGATTTGCAGTAGTTGTACCCTGCTCGAATGCAAAC